TCTTCCATTGGCTAGGGTGACGGCCGCCACGTGGGCCTCGGCATGCCTGGGGAGGCGAGCGCTAGTCGCCAGTTAGAGACCTCCACTTCCGGCCGTGGAGAGTCAGCCGCCGAACCATCTTCTCGGCCCAGGGTATCGGTAGTCTTCCCCAGCAATCCTAGGGTGCCGATGGGAGTCCCGAAGGAGCTCGTATTCGGCGTAGATTACCTGGAGCCCAACAGGATTACAGAACAGGAGATCGCGAAATATCGCGCTGAGTACTTAATACCAGATTCGGAAAGGATGAGGATCCCAACGTCAACCGAATCTCTAAGCAACCCGAAAGATGGTGAAGTTGTCTCTTTCACGGACGTACTCCTGCAAGAAGTGAGGATTCCGCTCCAGTCTGCCGTTCAGAGAATTTTGGCGCAGATAGGCTATGCTCCAGGCCAGTTCAACCCCAACGTCTGGGTAGCGTTGATGGGAGTGGTCACGGCCTTCAGCATGGCTGGCGAGGGAGCGCCTTCGTACAACAGTTCTCCCATCTGTACAGTGTCACAAAGTCTAAGTCCGCCGACCACGGGGGTTGGGTTCAGGTTAACTGCTTGAAGGCTACCGAACGCGACCATTTTGTCAGTGCCGTGCCAACCTCCCAGAAGACGTGGAGGAACGGCGGGTGCTTCTGTCCAATGATTGGGAGTCACCATCGGGACATCCCGTCCATTTCCACATTCCTACTACCTTCCAAGTAGTCGGTAGGCCATCATACCGTTCGGTAGGTCCTCTTGCTTGTAGCGTCTTTCAGTATTTTAATTCCGTTTCGTTTCTTTTTTTTTTTGTAGGCAAATTGAAGCAGCTGAGCGCCACCCAATCGGAGATCCGTCAGATCGACATGGTAAGGCTGAAGGTCCCTGCCGTAGAGAGAGTCTACCCCAAATTCCTATTCACTCCCAATCTCATCAAGGCTCAACTTGTCAGTCCTGCCAAGAGTAAGTGTACTTGTCCACTATAACTCAGTTTCTTGCCATAATGAGAATTCTTATCGATCCTGGTTTTGCAGTGACGGAAGAGAGGAGAGCTGCCGAGGTGAAGAGGATGAACGAGTCCTCTAAGCGGCGCCTCATGCTTGGGCTCCAAGGGAAAAAGAAGAGCCGGCAGCCGGAAACAGTACCAGCGTCATCGGGAGGAGTCGACCCCGAAGACCTAACCCTGAACGAGCGTCGTTGTCAGCTCAACGCTGAATCAGCGCAGGCCGAAGCGACAGCTGCTGGTCCGTCTCCTAGCCGAGGTGTGCTTACTGAGGGCACCTCCTCCAAAGTAGCCGGTAAAAGGCCATTCACAGTTGATCTAGATGCCGATCCAGCCCCGAAGCGCGGTCGGCAGACCTAGCCTGCTCGGGCCTTCTTCGCTGCTGAAAACGATGAGGCTCCTGCCAAACCCATCACTCTGGCTTGTCCGTCGAAAATGATACAATTTGTGAACCACATGATCCTCAGTTCACAAATGGAGCTTTCTGAGATCGAGGACCTGCCGAAGAAGGTCATTCAGGAGGAGGCTGGCCGTGCCTTCTGTCTTCAAGCTTCGGTAAGCGCTAACCATTCTCAGTTTATCGTACCGTTTGTTTACAGCTTTATCTAAGTTGCCCCTGATGCCGAGGAGGAGACTGCCACTTGAGTCTTGTTTAAGTTTTATTTTATGTATTATTTCATGAACACCTTGATGCCGAGGGCATCTTTTAATACCAGAAGTTTTAATTTTCTATTTTGATTGTCCAAGTAGTTTCACTTTCCGTATGTTTCTGTTTTAACTTGTCTTAGGAATTTTTTAAATGCCAAAGGCTAGATAAAAGTTAATCAGCCGTAGGCCAATAACAAGCTAACTTCTAAATGCAACCTGAATTGGTAGGAAGTTGATTTAACTGCCGAAGGCTGTTAACAGAATAACTCTGAAGTGCACCTTTGAAGTGCCGAGGGCTAAATAAGGTGATCTTCTAATCGTTAACATGCTTAGTAAAAGTCAAGTTAACCTTTAATCGGTAGGGAAGAATACCGTGGTACCTTAATCGCCGAAGGCTAATAAAAGGATTTAAAAATGTAGTATACTGCGACCGATGGTCTCTACCGCATCTTTTAAATTAACACACCGAAGGTTGTGAATATTTGCACCGTAGGCCTTTTCATTAACAATTGCCGAAGGCAAAGATACATTTGGAGTTCGTTAACAATTGCTAGGGAACTCGATACTGCCAAAGGCAGTGAGTAAGAATAAGCCGAAGGCTTTCTGATCTACATTATTATCCTGCAGTAGGCTAGGTGACTTCATTTAAAATAATATTTCAAATGCTCTACGTTCCAAGGATGACCGAGGGTCATTCCGTTGGAGTCCCAGAGTCGATATGTTTCCGATCGCTGGATGCCGATGATCTCGTAAGGTCCTTCCCAGGAAGGTTCGAGGGTTCCTTCCCTGGGGTCCTTAGTTGCCGGAGAGACTTTTCGCACGACCCAATCTCCGACTTGGAAAGTGCGGGATCTGAGAGACTCGCTGTTTGTAAGCTTCGTTCCAAAGGTTGGCTTGCGCTCGGTGTTCTTCGATCAGGTTGAGGCTCAAGGCGAGAGCCTCCTCATTCGCCTTTAGGGCAAAAGTTTCCGTTCGGTAAAAGGGTTCTCCGATTTCCACTGGGACTACTGCTTTCGAGCAAAAGGCGATGGAGAACGGTGTTTCCCCGGTTGCCGTTCGGTAGGATGTCCGGATGGCCCATAATGCCTCTGGAAGCTTCTCCGGCCAGGCTCCTTTGGGTTTGTCAAGCTGCCGTTTTAATAGCTTCTTGACTATTTTGTTCATCACTTCGACCTGATCGTTCGATTGGGGGAGAGCTGGCGAAGCGAAAAACAGATTGATCTTGAGGCGAGTGTAGAACTGCCTAAAGGCTTCCGAATCGAATTGCCTGCCGTTATCAGTGATGATGGCGTAGGGGATTCCGAATTGGCAGCAAATGTTCGTCCAGATGAAATCTTCCATTTTGGCTGCCGTTATCGTTGCCAAGAGTTAGGCCTCTACACACTTGGTGAAGTAGCCTACGACAACAACAACATATTTGACCTGGCCTTTGCCTTGCGGCATAGGGACGATCAAGTCCAGTTCCCACTGAGCGAAAGGCCATGTTCTTACGATCAGTGAGAGTGGCTCGGCAGGGATGTGAGGGACATTTCCGAACTGCTGGCATTTGTCGCACTTCTTGACTAGTACGCTTGCTTCTTGGTGCAAGGTCGGCCAGAAATACCCCTACCGGAAGACTTTGTGTGCCAGCGATCGGGACCTTGAATGGTTACCGCAGACCCTACTGTGAACTTCCCGGAGGACGTAGTCCCCCTGCTCCTTGGTGAGCCATTTTATATACGGCGTGCTGTAGCCTCACTTGTACAGGACATTGTCGATGACTGTGTATCTTGCCGATCGGTACCGTAGCTTTCGAGCTTGGGACTTATCGGTGGGCAGCGTTCCGCTTGTTAGGAAGGCATAAATTGGAGACATCCACGTGTCGTCGTACCATACGGTACACACCTCTGTCGTTGCTGTGCTTGGCTGGGATAGTATCTCCACCGTCACATTCCTTCCGATCTTATCGTTTATTACCGAAGCCAACCGCGAGAGTGCATCGGCGTGACTATTCTCTGACCTGGGGATCTGCCGAATCTCGTAGGCCTTGAACTTTTGTAGGAGTTGGTGGGCTGCCGATAAGTAGGCGGACATGGAGGCATCCTTCGCTGCGAAGTCTGCGGTTATTTGATTTACAATGAGCTGGGAGTCACTGTGAATGCTGATTTGCTTTGCGCTCATGCTCTTGGCTAGCCGAAGGCCGGCCAAGAGAGCCTCATATTCCGCCTCGTTGTTAGAGGTTTTGAAGTTGAATCGGATGACATATTCGACTTTGCGTCCATCTGGAGCAGTTAACACCAAGCCGGCTCCGCAGCCTTGCTGATTTGCCGAGCCGTCAACATGCAGGATCCATAGAGGGACAGAAGGATCAAAGCGCTCGGCATCCGTATTTCCCAGTTCTATAATAACAGCATTCGAAGAACATGCTTCCGATGGGGCAGGTGTGAGCTCGGAGATGAAGTCGGCGACGACCTAACCATTCTCTGCGGGCCTTGGCTTGAACTGTATGTCAAATTCTCCCAGCTTGATCGCCCATTTGACCAATCTGTCGAATGTTTCTGGCTTTTGAAGTACCTGCCGAAGGGGCTGATTGGTCAGTACCGTGATTTCGTGTGCTTGGAAGTATGGGCGGAGCCTTCGTGCCGACACAACAAGGGCTAGTGCTAGCTATTCCAAGTGTGGGTACCGAAGTTTCGCGCTTTGAAGGGCCTTGCTGACATAAAATATTGGTAGCTCTGCCTTCTTTGGCTTCCGTATCAATACCGAGCTGACGGCAGTGCTTGATACTGAAAGGTAGAGGAGGAGAATTTCCTCGGGAAGCGATTTTGACAACAGTAGTGCCTTGCTCATGTAGTTCTTCAAGTCTTGAAATGCTTGGTCGCATTCGGGAGTCCA